AAAAAGTTGGTTCTTTGAAAAGATAAATAAAATTGATAGACCATTAGCAAGATTAACCAAGAAAAGAAGAAAGCAGGCCGGGCACGGTGGCTCACGCCTGTAATCCCAGCACTTTGGAAGGCCAAGGTGGGTGTATAACCCGAGGTCAGGAGTTCAAGACCAGCCTGGCCAACATGATGAAACCCCGTGTCTACTAAAAATACAAACATTAGACACAGTGGCAGGTGCCTGTAATCCCAGCTTCTCAGGAGGCTGAGGTGGGAGTATCACTTGAACCCGGGAGGCGGAGATTGCAGTGAGCTGAAATCATGCCATCGCACTCCAGCCTGGGTGAAAGAGCAAAACTTGATCTCAAAAAAACAGAGAGCAAATCCAAATAATCTCATTAGGAAATAAAATAGGAGATATTACAACTGACACCACTGAAATACAAAGATAATTCAAGGCTGCTATGAACACCTTTATACTCATAAGCTAGAAAACCTAGAAGAGATGGACAAATTCCTGGAAATACACAACCCTCCTAGCTTAAATCAGGAAGAATTAGATACCCTGAACAGAACAATAACAAGAAGTGAGATTGAAACAGTAATTAAAAATTACCAACAAAAAGAAGTTCAGGACCAGATAGATTCACAGCAGAATTCTACCAGACATTCAAAGAAGAATTGGTACTAACCCTTTTGACACTATTCCACAAGACAGAGAAAGAAGGAACCCTCTCTAAGTCATTCTATAAAGCCATCATCACCCTAACACCAAAACCAGGAAGCAATACAGCCAAAAAAGAAAACTACAGACTGATATCCTTCATGAACATAGATGCTAAAATCCTTAACAAAATGCTAGCTAACCGAATCCAACAACATGTTAAAAGGATAATCCACCATGATCAAGTGGGTTTCATACCAGGGATGCAGGGATGGTTTAAGATACACAAGTCAGTAAATGCGATACACCACATAAACAGAATTAAAAACAAAAATCACATGATCATCTCAATAGATGCAGGAAAACCATTCAGCAAAATCCAGCATCCCTTTATGATTAAAACCCTCAGCAAAATCAGCATACAAGGGACATACCTTAATGTAATAAAAGCCATCCATGGACTGGGCATGGTGGCTGACACCTGCAATCCCAGCACTTTGGGAGGCCAAGGCAGGTGGATCACCTGAGGTCAGGAGTTCGAGACCAGCCCGACCAATATGGTGAAACCCTGTCTCTACTAAAAATAGAAAAAATTTAACACACACCTGTGATCCCAGCTACTTGGGAGGCTGAGACAGGAGAATTGCTTGAACCCAGGAGGCAGAAGGTGCACTGAGCCGAGATCCTGCCGCTGCGCTCTAGCCTGGTCAGCAGAGCCAGACTCTGTCTCCAAAAAAAACCAAAAAGTAATCTATGGCAAACCCACAGCCAATATAATACTGCCGAATGGGGAAAAGTTGAAAGCATTCCCTCTGAGAACAGGAATAAGACAAGGATGCCCACTATCACCGCTCCTCTTCAACACAGTACTAGAAGTCCCAGCCAGAGCAATCAAACAAGAGAAAGAAATAAAGGGCATCCAAATTGGTAAAGTGGAAGTCAAACTGTTCCTGTTTGCTGTTAATATGATTGTTACCTTGAAAACCCTGGCTGGGCACAGTGGCTCATGCCTATAATCTTAGTACTTTGAGAGTCCAAGGCAGGCAGATCACCTGAGGTCAGGAATTCGAGACCAGCCTGGCCAACATGGTGTAAACTCATCTTTACTAAAAATACAAATACAAAGATTAGCTGGGTGTGGTGGTATGCTCCTGTAATCCCAGCTACTTCGGAGTCTGAAGCCCGAGAATCACTTTAGCCCAGGAGGCAAAGGTTGCCCTGAGCCAAGGTCACACCACTGAACTCCAGCCTGGGAGACAGAGGAAGACTCCATCTCAAAAACAAAAAACAAAAACAAAACACACACACACACACACACACACACACACACACACACAGATATTGGATTGGCTGAAATTTATTTATTTAAGACAGAATCTGGCTCCTGTTGCCCAGGCTGGAGTGCAGTGGCGCGATCTCGGCTCACCGCAACCTCCACCTCCTGGGTTCAGGCAATTCTCCTGCCTCAACCTCCTGAGTAGCTGGGATTACAGGCACGTGCCACCATGCCCAGCTAATTTTTTGTATTTTTAGTAGAGACGGGGTTTCACCATGTTGACCAGGATGGTCTCGATCTCTTGACCTCGTGATCCACCCGCCTCGGCCTCCCAAAGTGCTGGGATTACAGGCGTGAGCCACCGCGCCCGGCCTTTTTTTTATATATTCTATTTGCTACCTTTAATTTACTTTTTTTTGAGACAAGGTCTCATTCTGCCACCCAGGCTGGAGTGCAGTGGCATGATCATGGCTCACCGCAACCTCCACCTCCTGGGTTCAGGCAATTCTCCTGCCTCAACCTCCTGAGTAGCTGGGATTACAGGCACGTGCCACCATGCCCAGCTAATTTTTTGTATTTTTAGTAGAGACGGGGTTTCACCATGTTGACCAGGATGGTCTCGATCTCTTGACCTCGTGATCCACCCGCCTCGGCCTCCCAAAGTGCTGGGATTACAGGCGTGAGCCACCGCGCCCGGCTATTTATTTTAGTTTTTTGAGACAGGGTCTCATTCTGCCACCCAGGCTAGAGTGCAGTGGCACAACCATAGTTCACTGCAGCCTAGACCTCCCAAGCTTATGTAATCCTTCCTCCTCACACCCAACTTTTTAATTTGATTTTATGTACAGACAAGGTCTCTCTTTGTTGCCCACACTGGTCTCAAACTCCTGGGCTCAAAGGATCCTCCTGCCTGAGCCTCCCAAAGCGCTAGGATTACAGGCATGAGCCACTATGCCCAGCCTGTTAGGTAATTTCTGATAGAGTTAAACATATACCTACCACATAACCCACCTATGTTATTCCCAGGTATTTACCCAAGAGAAATAAAGACATATGACCACACAAATACTTATACACAAAAGATGTTAGTTTCATTCATAATAGCCAAAGACTGGAAATAATCTCAGTATGTATCAACAGATGAATAGATAAACAACATAGTATTTTAAATGTATAAACAATGGCTGGGTGTGGTGGCTCAAACCTATAATCCCAGCACTTTGGGAAGCCAGGGTGAGCGGACTGCCTGAGCTTAGGAGTTCCAGACCAGCCTGGACAAAATTGTGAAACCCCACTTCTACCCAAAATACAAAAATTAGCTGGGTGTGGTGGTACATGCCTGTGGTCCCAGCTACTGGGCAGGCTGAGGTGGGAGGATCAATTCAGCCTGGTAGGCAGAGGTTGCAGTGAGCCAAGATTACACCACTGCACTCCTACCTGGGTAACAGGGTGAGACCCTGAGACCCCATCTCAAAAAAAAAAAAAATGTATAATTAAAATAATACTTTGGCACTAAAAAAGGAACAATATGATACACCCAATCATATGGATGAATCCCAAAATAATAATGCTGGGCAAAAGAAGTCAGGCAGAAAAAATTACATTCACCATGACTCCATTCATATGAAATTCCAGAAAATGGGGCCAGAGTTGTAATGAGAGATGAGTTTCAAAGAGGCACAAGAAAATTTTCAGAGATAAGTGTTTTGTATCTTGATTATGGTGTTAGTTTCATGAGTGATTACATATATCAAAAATTGAATTATATACTTTAAATGAGGGCAATTTATTGTACATAAATGTTACCTCAATAAAGTTGATTCTTTTAAAGGAATGGTGAGGGAAAATCATCTTTATGCAATAAAACAAAAGAAAAGACTTACCTGGATTTGAAACAACAAGAATTTTACAATCAGGACTACAACGTACTATGGGAGGGATGATTGATTTCATGATAGCCACATTACGTTGGACCAGGGCAAGGCGAGTTTCTCCCTCCTGTTGCCTTGCACCTGCTGTGACAATAACTATTTTGGAGTTTGCAGATACACTGTAATCTAAAAAGGAAATAAAATACTATATTTGGATCAAGATTACCATAACCACTGTGCCTTACCTCTTTAAAAGTCTATCATCTGTTCTTAATATTAAAGTATTCATGTACCTTTATGTCTGGCATTTTGGAGATGAACAAACTTTTCTAACCTGTATAACCTGAAGGAAGCCTTGTCACTATCACTTGCCAACTTTCACATAGCTACCTCAAAAATTTTATAACAATAGAAACTAACATCCCCTTTTTCCCACATTCCCATGTGTTATAAAGGCCCAAGGCAATGAAAGTCAGCTCTCTGCCTTCTTAGAAACACCAAAATAAGGCCGGGCGTGGTGGATCATGCTTGTAATCCCAGCACTTTGGGAGACTGAGATGAGTGGATCACAGGTCAAAAGATGGAGACCATCCTGGCCAACGTGGTGAAACCACCTCTACTAAAAATACCAAAATTAGGTGGGCATGGTGGCACACACCCTGTAGTCACAGCTACTCAGGAGGCTGAGGCAGGAGAATCGCTTGAACCCGGGAGGTAGAGGCTGCGGTGAGCCAAGATAGCACTACTGCTCTCCAGCCTGGCAATAGTGCAAGACTCTGTTTCAAAAACAAAAAACAAAACAAAAAAAACACCAAAATGAATAAAGGCTTAGAACTCTGAGTGTCTGTTTCAGGAGTCTAAGAGTGAGAATGTATTTACTTCTAATATTGTAAGCAACTGGATTTGAGATCAGAAACAAGTTCTTGACCCACACAAGAAAATAAGCTATCTACTAAAGACCCAGTTGTTTCACCTGAATACAATCTCAATACTATGTAACACTTACTTATACTGGACATTTTTTTTCTTTGAGACAGGATCCCACTGTGTTGCCCAGGCTGGAGTGCAGTGGTGCCATCTCAGCTCACTACAACCTCTGCCTCCCGGGTTCAAGTGATTCTCCCACATCAGCATCTGGAGTAGCTGGAACTACAGGCATGCACCATCATGGACAGCTAAATTTTGTATTTTTTGGCAGACACGGGGTTTCACCATATTGGCCAGGCTGGCCTTGAACTCCTGACCTCAAGTGATCTGCCTGCCTCAGCCTCCCAAAGTGCTGGGATTATAGGCATGAGCTACCATACCTGGCCTCATACTGGACTTTTTTAAAAAGCACTACATAGCTGAAAGTTATCTTCCATATGTATGTAAAAAATTAGTTAAAATACCCTCTATATCTATCTCATCTTGACTTTTTATGTTCTTTTAGAAAATGAAATCTAATAGCCAGGTGTGGTGGCTCATGCCTGTAATTCCAGCACTTTGGGAAGCTGAGGCAGGCGGATCACTTGAGGTCAGGAGTTCGAGACCAGCCTGGACAACATGGGGAAACCACGTCTCTACCAAAAATACAAAAATTAGCTGAGCATGGTGGTTGGTACCTGCAATCCCAGCTTCTTGGGGCAGGGCGGGGTGGGGGAGGGTCGGCAGGAGACGAGGCAGGAGAATGGTTTGAACCCAAGAGGTGGAGGTTGCAGTGAGCCCAGATTGTGCCACTGCACTCCAGCCTGTGTGACAGAGTGAGACGCTGTCTCAAAAGAGGAAAAAAAAAGGAAAAGAAAATCTACCTAATTTTTTTTTTTTTTTTTTTTTTTTTTTTTTTTTTTTTTTTTTTTTTTTTTTTTTTTTTTTTTTTTTTTTTTTTTTTTTTTTTTTTTTTTTT